GCCCTGCCCATAGGCTGTGCGAAGATGGGTCCACCCATGCACTGACAGTCCCCATTCCCATGAAGGTGTCTAATGCCCAGGGCTGGGGCTGCACCCCAACCTCTTGTGCCCTGGCTGGGGGGCACAGGCCCTGGTTGCCAGACCCTGCCCTGACATCCCTGGGAGCCATCACTGTCCCCAGTCCAAAAAGCTGCCATCCCTCGCAATTGTCTGACAGTCATCTTGTGTTGTGTCTTACAGTTCAACTATAACGGAGATATGGTTTTTACTGCACACCAATACATGATTTTATCCCTGTTGATGAGAACAGAACATTATTAGGTCTAATACTAACTGATGTGGCAAAAGTAGACTGCATCCTAGTTTGATCACAGGGCCTGGATACAAAGTGGATTGGGAAGGGCTGGTCATCAGAAACGGGGTTCCCCTTGTGTGTTGTAGAAGACATTAGTCTTCAACAAGGACAGTAGAAACCACACAATGGCCTTTCCTGGTTAATATTGAGGCAAGAAGAGCCCCTAAAGGAGTGAAAAACTGTTGTGAAACAATGGGAAGTTGCTTTGTTGCTTTCTTGACCTAAGTGAAAGTTTTTTCAGTATGGAAATTGCTTCAGTAGAGCTTTGGGATTTAGCTCAGATCATCCCGAAGTTCTCCAGAATGTCAACCTTTGATAAATTCCAGGACAAAGAAAGTCCCAAACAAATTTCTAGTTTTCCTGTGAAGCTCCTCCAGTCTTTCACAGTAGTATTTATGGGGAGTAAAGAAGTTGGCTGGTTCACTAATACTCTGATCTACTTGTATCCTGTTACCGAGCATCCTGAGGAGAATAGTCCTTTGTTTTAGGCTTTCAAAAAAGCCATCATAACTTTGCCTCCCATTAAATATATGTTTGATGGGGAGCTCAGTGAATGTGACCTGTAAGGAAATAGAATAGTGTGTTTCAGTCTTCACAAAGGGAACATTTACAACAATTTATAGCTGAGGCCGCCAAATGTGTTCTTCGGAGAGGCACTAGAATTACATGTAAAGCCTCAAATACTTTAGGGAAAAGAGGATTTTGTCTCAGTGAAAGCTGGCTGTTTCCATGTGTATGTATATATATGCACATATATGCATACATATACATGTATGAACAAATAAGTATTAAACCCCAAATGTTTCTTCTTTCTTCCCACTTTGTGTCAATGATGGTTGTCTGTAGGCATTGTACATTCCTGGCAATGTAGCAAAATTGTAACACAGCGCGATCAGTTTAGCTGTGTTCTGAATGAGTTTAGCAAAGGACACAGCGTGGTCACATCCAGAAACAAGGGTTCTTCCTTTGTGAGTGTTTATAATCCACGCACCAGACAGGCAAAAATAAATAAATAAATAAAAATTACTCTGATCTTTCAGTTAGTGAATTTGCGGCTTGCCATATCCATTTGGTCCTTGTATTTGCAGACATCTTTTGTATCCCACCGAATTGCCTGACTGCTATTGAGGGCTTATTTTCATTTTCAGAAGACAGTAGTAACCGTAAAATACCATATCTTTTTGAAATGGACATCTCTATCCTTGCTTTACAGGAAGGAACATGGGCAAAGCTGAATGGATTACTGATGAGTAAGTACTACTGGCTGATTTTTCAATTCTGTGTCAAATGGAAGTAATGACACTTTCTTTTCTCCATTTCTTGTCTAGTATATTTAAACTTCATGCTTTCCAGGACAGCATTTGTCTCATTAGCTGTCTGCCCAATGCTTAGTGTCGTAGCGTATTACTTTTAGATAGAGTCCCATGTCACTTCCAACAGCTGCTAAGTTTACCTAAGGATACAAGAGTATGTTGAGAACAGACAGAACTTGAGTTATTCTATTTGCTGTCTGTGCAAGCCAGTTTCCAAAAGGAAGCAGCAGAGCTGTACCTAAATCATCAGCATTGCACAGAGTGAACATCAAATACAGCAACTTGTTAGCATCTGCACGGCTTCAAAGTTGGTTTACAGTTTGGCAGAGTCATGGGCAGAGTGGGGCAGGGGGCACGGTGGTGGCGATTCTGTGGCTTTATCTGCACAAGCCCATACAGTTGTGCCAAAAGACAGACGGAAGATAAGATTATAGCTTTCATTTCAGGCATTAGTAGTCTTAAAAAAGAAACAATAAATGCCACTAATAAAAATAGTAACCTTTCTGGCCTAGTAAACAGAGCTCATACACATTGATAGAGTTATATTGGCAACGATGCACTCCATATGCTCATGAAGGTTACAGGGCATATTTCCATGTAAACAGTCAAGACAGCAAGCTTCAAATATTTGGAAGAAATGTTTATTTAACAACTGAATACATGCTAAAAGAAATAATTTACAGCAGCAGTTTCATTACATTTTTTTCTCTCCAGTTTTCTAGTTCCCATCTGAATTGAAGTGATAAATACAGAAGTAGAATTATTTACTACCCAGTGAAGAATGTGCTTAAAGAATAAGCACATAACTTTGACACTGATATAGCAAATAAACCACCTTATCACCTGTGTGGCAAAATCTTGCATTTTAGTGTTATGCTGAACACACCGAAATGGAGTACCTCTAGATAACAGTACTTTACACTGTACCTCCTTATCTAGTCAAAAATATTTACATCTCTTTTGGCTAATGTGTAGGTAGCAAAAATTGAACTATTAAACACATACCATTGATATTCACTAAATAATACATAAAAAGGATCAGTAAATGCGCATTCACATGCATTTAATTTAATTTCTTTTTTTTTTTTACATAACGACTTTATTGGGTCATGAAGATATAACTCTGTTCTGCAAAGATGCTCATTTTCTCAGTTTGATGTTATAGTTTAATATAACCATACAGTTTTTAGGAGCCATTGAACAAATTCCCATCTTCAGTGATCCATGCAAGTGCAAAGTGTAGATGAGTAAGATTCAATGCATTTTTTTTTCCTTGCAAATGGGTATCTTAAAACAAATCAAAATAGATCTTTCTGGTTATATACGAAATCCTTTATTTCTCTCCAGCTTAAACACAATTTGAGGGTTTTATTGACGATTTACAGAAATACCATTTTTACCTTCTTCAAACTCTATGCTGCATTAAACAATAACGACAAAAATGCGAGTGTGAATTGTACTGAAGCTGCAGGGCATCCTTCTAAATAGGAATTCATTAAGGCCTATGTTCTCTGAAAAAAAGTTCGTTTCATATCAGTATTAAATCCTGTTTTAACTTAACCATAAGACGAACCTGAAAATTTCTACTGCTGGTTTGATCTTCTGTCCTCTTATTTATATAAGTAATTATAAGACTACTCAGGTCAGTGATGATTAGATTGAAGTTTGTAACATCTGATCACACCAATTGCCCAATTAGACTGCCAGGTTATGGTAAAAAATTGCAACTTCTGTTATTTTGATCCCACAGATTATCTTTCTATGTAGAGAAAAACATATCTTAGAAACCTGACTTTAATTTCATCTGTTTCTTCTTCAAGAGTGATGAAAGAGGTTGGTTTTGGTTTGAATTTTGCAGTAACTTGCCACAGAATCAGTTGCTATGACCATGGTAGAGAAAAAAAAAATTAGATAGTGATTCTATTAATATGTTAAAAAGGAAACATAGTCATTTAGGGTCTGTTGAAATCAATCTATATTTTTCCTACTGAATTCTCCAAGGTTCATTTTAATACTGTTTCCTTTTGCAACAAAGAGGATTCTAATGACCCAGTGGTACACAATAGCCCTAGACAAAAGGCTAAAGAGTGTTCTATGATTACAATTAAATAATTCAGCTGACAACAGTGCTCAGAAATTACTCATAAACTGAGCTGAAAAATTACTACTTCTTGTACAGGAATGTACGCAGTTGAACCTATGTTTTAACTCATCCCTATTCAGCACATGATGAAAACAGCATATTAAAGTTCACAGGAGTCAAGTTAAACCTAAGATAGACTTCAAGTTACTTCAAAAATAAATTCCCAAGTGCTTTCCCATATCATGGCCTTACTGCCTGGTCCTGGTCTATTCAATAAATTTTTTGCTAAGGAATTAAATGACAACAAATCTTGCAAGTTCATCCAGTGCAAAAGATTCAAAGCAGACTAAAGTGACCAGGCCATTAGTGAAAAATCCAATGGCTATGGAGACAAGAAGCCAAGGCTTTGCTAATCAGAAGGATAGTGAGGACTAGTGAGTGATAATCAGAACTAGCGAGTGGCAAGGAGACTGGGATGTGTTGTGACAGAAGGTGTCACAGCAGTTGTGTTACATTGTATCTGATAAAGCTGATAGTGTAGTGATTGATAAATTGAATAATCTGGAGTGAATAACAACAAAACAGATCAGTCATCAATACAGATACACTTTTATATAAAAGCTCCTTTAGCAAACTAAGGACTTTGTTCTAGCAATTTTCCCCACAATGACATTACTTGAAATTATGTCATTTACAGACTCTACCAAGATAAAAAATGGGAGGCTGGAGAAAGATGATCTCAAAAGAACTGGACACCATAGAACTGGGGACCAAAGGCACATCTGTGCTGAGGTGAATAAATCCACTACTTATAACCCTAAACTGACACTTATGGTGCAAGTACATTGTCTGTTTTACCCTGTTGCTCTCCTGTATATAGAATAAGACAGAAGTGCAGGACCAAATTAACTGTTAATATTAAACTAATCTTAAGCTGAACTTCACCAATTTACTACTGCAGCAGACTTCGCCCACAGATAAAACTGTCCCTTTGACCTTAAAACAGAGAGCTGGCTTTTAGGTTACCATTTACATGGCCCAGTGCTGGTTCTTTGCACTTGGGTGATCTGGCTGACAGAAAGAATGGAGCACTGAGAATCAGTAGCGTGGACATATTTCTACCACTGAGCTGGGAACAAAACTCCTTAAACTGAATGTGAGCTTTGCTCATGGATATATGACGGTGTATGAACCACAGCATTTAAATATTAGCATTCACAAATATTTACGAACCAAGAAAGCAAGAGTGTAATTAGTACAGGGTATTTTAATGCTATTTACTTTTTTAATTAGAAAAAAAATATACAACTGAAAATGAAGGCTCTCCTCCTCATTGGTTCAATCTATAGCAAGGTATTATGCAAGTTGAATCATTTCAAATACCATACTTAGAAAAAAAGAATGCAGAAGACTTCCATGCTATACAGCAACTTTCATATTAAAATAGCTTAGTTTTAACATCATTTTGAAGTTACATGTCATATAGATTACTGAGAGGGGAGGAGGTTAACTGCACTGTGACTAGCTCCCCCGGAAGATTTTCCAAAGAAAAGAGTAAAGCAGCTCATAATTGGTAGTTGTCTTTTTTCTTCTCTAAACCAATAATTAGAAAGTACAATATTTCTAAGACAAAAAGTCTAATCTATTTTGGAAAAGAACTAATGTTTGCTGCATATTTTTCATGGTACATTTAAATTATAGTTTTAATAAAATACATCTTTAGATCAAAGCTGAAAGAAGTCATCAGTAGTAGGCCAGTGTACTCCACATTTTTTGTTCTTCCAGATGATGGATGGCTTATGTTGTTCAGATTTCAACAAACAATTTTATTCAGTATTGTTTTTCCTCTTCTAGTACATATAAACAGGAGAACTGGTAGACAAAACAAGAACAAAATCCTTGTGTCCAATCGTGTTTAGACGTTCATCAGCTTAATGAGTTCATGCAGTTTTATATATAAGTCTAGAAATGGTAGTGCTGATGATGAAAGGTGGGATTTTATTTTTCTTTTCTTTAAGAAGACAGCATGAAATACAGCATTTTGTTTACATCTCAGGCAAAAGAAAGCAAAACTTGCCTGCGGAACACTTGCAGAACTTTCTGAGCAGTAAGCTAGGTCCGGGTGAGTTACCATCCTTGAAACTCTGGTCTTTCTGGTCTTAGAATCAGAGCAGAGAAAAAAGACTTACTAGCAAAGTTAGAAATTGATTTTATTTAAATCTGGTGGAAATTGTTTGAACTTTCCACTCTTGTAAACATCCACATAATGCCATGAAAAAGTTCATGAATATTGCATTTTTTTTCCAGTTATCTGTCTGTACAAGTTTCCACTTGGATGAGGTTCCTAGAGGTAATGTAGCTCAGACACTCCGTGGTGCCCTCTCAAATTCATGGGTCCTCCTGTTCCTACCTTTTTTATTCTCTTGTAGGTGCTTCCACTTATTTGTATTCACCTGCGCATTGGCAGGCCTTTGTCGGCGTTGTTTGCGGTCTCTTTTCCAAACTTGCTCACAGAACTCATCCATTGTGTTGAGATTGGGGTGATTGATTAACTGCATGAAGTCTCTATACCAGATCTTTTGACTGGGAGTCATGCTATTGGTAGCATCCTTGGTCTTGGAGACATCACCATCTTCTTCTTTATGGAGCAGCTCTTCGAGGTGGTCAGTATCAATTACTTCCAGGGTCACTTTGAGCAAAGTTTGCATGAAGCCGTGCTCCACAGCATGACAAAAATAAACACCAGAGTCTCTCCGTTGAAGACTTCGTAGCAATAGGCCCTGTTCTGTCCGGATCATGCGATCATCCACCTTTATCTGTATTAGAAAAAAGTGGTAATTTCAATAGTTATCTTTCATGTATGTGCAACATTATCCTCTAACCATACCAGTTCCTTAGTACTGCTCCTTTCAGCTGGTAAAACTTGGCTAGCAATCCCCAAACCCACGTGAATGGAAAGCCCCTTGTCAGGCATTTGTAATTACGGAAGGTTCAAACATTCTGGAAAAGCTACTGATGAACTGCAAAGATCCTGGGAGATTAAGAATTTACTCCTTGGTCCCTAACTGCTGCTGAACAAAGATCTGCATCAACTCTGTCCGATGGACTTGCTGGTAATATTATAGAAGATGGAAATCTATAATCATCACACAAGATGGAAGTCTATAATCCAATGAATACATTTGGCTATAATACCAAGGTCACATTAATCATTATCTTTTACTCAAGCCTAGATATATTTGTGGGAAAGGTCCTCTGTCTTCCATCATTCTTTACTACAAAAGTCCTTATGCATAGAAGTCGATTCCGTGTATGTGGAGAATTTACAAAGAAACAATAAGGATTCAATCTCAAAATTTTAATATATAAAAGGCAGCTGTCCAAAATACTATATTTTTCTGAATTAATTAATATTTACAAGATAATTTAATTATTTGAATGCAGATCACCACAAACTGAAAGGGCACAAACCTGGTTGCTGTTCTCTCCACTAAGAATAAATTCTAAATATTTTACTAAGGCTAACAAATCAAACAGCAAAAACAATTAAAGCTGCTAAGGTAACTAAGTATTTAGTACATGCTTTAAAAAAAGTTTCTGAGTACTTTGGCTACATTTACAAATATTTCAATGCAACAAACAAGTTTTTATTTCCTATCATTCCTACCTTCAAGTGTAGATTGTTCTCTTAAGGTATGTATGACCTAGCTTGATAGTAACATGAATTGAGAATCTGGGTGAGTAATAATATAAGAATGTGTGTGACAAGAGAAGGAGAAAAATAAAGAATCAGCTTAATGTAATGCAAGCAGGGAAAGTCTGTCTCTTTGCCTCTATGAGCATTGCTTTTAATAAAAAAATATGCAAGTTTTCATACCCTTGTGTCCACTACAGTTCCCACTTCTCCTTTCTGTGTCTGCCTTATCTGCAGCAAAGTCTTAGAGCAGTACATCAGAAATGCTCCTGTTGGACTCCATTTCAGTCACACAGGATAATTAGAGGAATGCAGCTAGACGTTTTTCAGAGGCAGTTTTAAGGTCTTTGCAATATTTAAGTTCAATATAATCGTTAGATCATGGCACTTTGGCAGTTAGATGCCATGCTAACTTTTGGTATTTCTGAGATATCTAATGGAAAACCAGTGTGCTTTGCAAGTGGACTGACCAGGGAAAGGATATGAATGTTTTCTGATGTAACAATCTGTAAAACCTATTAGAGAGCTTACAGGATTTTATGATGATAAAAATAAGAATATGGTAAAGAATAACAGAAAGATTGTAAGATTCCAGAGAAGTTATGCTAAACCAAAATACAGATGGATGTTATTCTGGGAAGGACACAGCTTCTGGTATATCTTCATAGAGAAGAACAGTTGCATCTCTGGTTTCCTACTGTACCTCTTCTTTGCGGTCATCATTTTGCTTCTGGAATTGCCAGTAGACTACAGCACGCTGAGATTTTGGACTGCACTCAAGAAAAGTGCTGCTATTCTCTACTCCATAGATAATCTTTTCCTCCAAGGTCTGACCACCTGGGTTATCTGCAAAGCAAAATAATAAAAATAAACCAAAAAATATTAAAATTACCAAGAAAGAAAAATCTTAACTGATAAGTGCATTTGTTCATTTACAAATTGGTCTCCCTTAAAGTGTTCAAAGACTTTAAAAGAAAAATTTCCGCATATCTGTGTGCCACTTGGAAAATTTCCATCAACATCTCTATCTTTGTAAGGATCCCTGGTAGGCTGTTGTTTTTTATAATTATTTTTGTATTTTAAATACTAACAGCTGTTAAGATCTCAGTATGTGAAGTTAATGAATTTCATTGTGAAATTTTGTGTAAACCTCATTATTATTCATCAAGGAAAACATCTAGGACATGACAAGAATTTTTAATAGCAAACTCTATGCAGTGAGAAAACTCAGGGTGTAGTTGCAGAATGTCTGTAATAATGCCTCCTGGGCTCTACGATCATAATACTTTAGAGGAAAGTAATAAAACATGAGGCTATTTGAAAGTAGTATAACATATTTAGATTATACGACACTGCAGTTTGCTGAAGCTGTTAATGACCAGGAATAATGTTTTTGAGGAAACAATCTTCAATTAATAATTTCCTCTCATACTGACATAATTTATGGAAATGTAATGAGGTTAATAAACCAGACATTACGGGAGGTGAAAAAGAAAGTTAAATAAATTACTTCCTTTTGTAACAATGTTTCAAGATATTCATCAACTTGCTGGAAATATCGCACAGCTATAAGACTTATATGGCATTTGATTCTTCTCCAATGCTGCAGAGGCTGTAAGGCATCATATTTCAACTCTCCACCTTAGCTCTTTAAAATGCTGTTACAGACTTAAGCGGCAACAGTGCAATAATCCTGAGGAGTACATGGGGAGGAAGAGGTTGTTAAGCTATTTAACATTGTGTTGATCTCATGGGGTTTCCTGTCTTTTTACCATTATTTTTCATTCTTTCCATTTCCACTTTTTGATCTCTAGCACTGGAAATCTTTAAAGAAGTTCTTTCAATATGTTTTAATGGGAAAGTGGTGTTTAACTAAAATTCTCTCAGAGAAATCTTTGTCAAGTTTTGTTTGCTTTTACTGTGCCTTTTATCATACTGGCCATGCTGTTTAGTACACACAGGCTGTTTTCTAGATGACTGAGCCGGAGGTAAAAATAAAATTGTGCTCCTGGTTTATGTTGATACAGCAATCATATGCCTTTCCAAAATGACTTGCAGCCCTGAGAGACGATGGGAGAAGGGATGGGGGACACAATCAGAACTGCTACTTACCCAATTCTCAGTAGGGGAACATCAAATGGCCTATTAACACTAAATAAATAGGGAATGGGATAGCTCGCTGTCCTCTGCTGGATTGTGACTAGCTTTCCAGCTAGTAAGTGGGGTGCTGTATAAACAACTAACTGAAACAACTTCTATGACATCTCTCAGAAACCACATCCCTATGAAGAACATCAGTGCAGCTTTGGGCCAGGAAGATGAGAAATGGAAGAATGAATTAGAAAGCAAAACAGTGAGAGAAGGGTAAAGCAGCTGGAACAGAATGTTGCCAAGGGTATCAGTGGAAAGATCTGAGATGAAGCATGAATGAATTTGTGTCAATGAAACAGATGAATTGGAGTACATGGAGGAGACTAACTGAATAGAAGTGAGAAGATAAAGATAGGAAATGGAAATCATTGGCTGATAACTCATGGGTCCAGACTCAACACTGTGAATAGCTGATTGGTGACTCGAATCTTCTGTTTCAAGATAGGTGCTCTCATTTAGGAACAGAAATCACATGGCTGAGTAGGCAGCCAGAGATACTCACTTAGTCAAAAAGAGGCATTTTGATATGTGAACTGGGATTCACAACAGTACGTGTTGGGCTGTAGCATAAGACAGTCAGTACTATCTTACTTTTATAGTCTGGGACACATACGTTACTGTTTCAGCGATGTGTTTTATGTGAAACAGATTTACAGTCTTCCAGAGTAAAGGATGCAAACATAGGGATTTCACTTTAGGCTCTGCGAACATTAATTGTGGTTGCCAAATAGCCCAAATTCAACAAGCACAATCTGATAGTTTGGGTGCTTGTATTGGAAGTAGAGCTAGCAAGTCAATCTAAGCCTAAATGGACTTCGAATTCCCTTATCCCACATCAGAAACAGCTGATTCAACCAGTAGGTTACTAATTAGGTTACTAATTAAGTTGAGTGTTGTGATGCCATTTCAAACTTCTGAGTGTTTTCTTGGATTTGGTTCACGGTATTTTAGCATTAGAGATCACCACAGAAACTGGCAGAAACCCCCTTTAAATTTCCTCAATGCTCCGGAAAATATAATGTGGGTGACAGTCATGCAATGGAAGGATTAAAGAGATCCTTGAAATTCAATTTCCATGAATTAAGGGAGTAGAAGGCAGGTCCAGAAATGTCTATAAAGTTCAGGCAATATTGAGCATGTAGAGTGCAAGAAATTAAGCAAAGTGATGGAATAATCAGAGGATCAGAGGGCGGCTCTGGGACCGAGGGAGAAACTGAAGAGACTAGGAGGAAGAGTGAAAGTCTGGGAAGTTCAGAAGAGCAGCTGGAGGAATCAGAAAATTAGAGAAGTCATGAAGTTAGTTATGAAATTCAACCCAAAGTCCTGTCCGAGAGCTGTAATTCCCAAAATGAACCAAGCAGCAGTATCAGTTTACTACCCTGATAAACATCCTTTAAATACGTAATTTCTGACATAATCAAAGAAGCATGAAAGGCCAAGTACTTATATTGAGATTGCTTTACAAATGAATAAATCTCACCATACAGTTAAATTCAGAGTGATTCTTTCAGCTTTCCCTGGGATAAATCACTGCAAAAAAAAGGTGCCTCCTCATGTACAAATTCTTCAAGAAAAGAACTTGATAAATTTCTTGATAGCATTAGTATGTTACACTTAAAAATAAAAATGTTCTTCAGCTCACACAAAGGTGACCATGATTTTAGATTTCAGCATTAATGCCTGGTCAAACACCTGAGCAGCCAAGGATCCTCAGCTCCCTCTAATGTTGCTTTGCAGTAATTTTATACCACTTACACACTTGCTCGAAAAGACAACTGAAAGAGATACCTAAACCTTATTAAAAGCATTAAAGATTCAGACTGATATCAAAGTAAGTTTCTGCAGTGTCTTTAAAAGTGAGATATACACTAAGAGATTGTTCTTTTTTCTTGTTTCTATTACTTCACATGGCAAATCAACCAGCAGTTACTGCAAAGGAATGTGTAGACGGGTAGTAAAAGATTGCTGGAGCTTATTGTTGGCTATAGATGAAATTCTTCATCCATTGACCAGCAAACTACTAGTCAAAACCAAGAAAAAACTCAGCATAAGTTGGTATAGGAGTCTTATGGGTCATGCAGCTGTATCTACAATGCATGATCATGTGTAAACAACAAGTAACTATAGGATAATTTTTTAGATTTACAAGTCAGAACTCATTTAGAGAAAACTTCACTCATTAACAAACTAAAAAATTCATTAAGCATTTTGACAGTACATCCTTAAAGTCTGGGACCTAGAACTGCATTCCCTCAGTATTTTTTCTAAGTTACTGATTCTTCTAATCACACTGTCTTCGTTTCACTATTAAGTAAAATTCTCAGGGATATCTTTTCTCATTTTGACAAACCTATATTAAAACTCCTTGTGATCAGATTTGCCATACAACAGCTTTTTCTTGACCTAAAGTTCTCATGAAAATGTGGTAGCCCAGATCATCACTTCACTCATGAGTAAAATGTCCAGCTAGCATAAATGTAAAGCAAAGACATGCTTCTGCTGGCAAGAAAACTCAGGTTTACTGGGTGGTGAAATTTTCCTACTGAGGAACTGAAAATTTCAGTTCAACCCCAATATATGGATCTGCACTGCATAAGCATTACAAAATATAATGCAATTGGAAATTTTTAACATTTTTAGAACATCGACTAGTTCAAATCTAAACTAGCTGTGTATTCATGAGTTCTCAAAACATGGCAACTGCATATCCATCACAAACTTTTCCAAACCCTTTTGCCTTCTGAGTGGCTTGGCCCCAGTCTGACAATCAAGTAGTAAAAAGAAAATCTATAGTAATGTTTGCAGTGAGTTTCAAATTATTAAAAAGGAAGATAGAGAAAACTATTACTGAAACATAGTGGTGGTGAATTATAGCTGACACAATAGTACAGCTTGCTATTATAAGGACTGGAAGGACATGAGGGTTTTGAATTATCTCCGTTTTCAGCCATCACTTCTTTATTTACCCCAGGAATCCATCAGTGGTCTAACTGTTATTGTAGAGGTACCACAAATATGAGCAATCATTTTTTTCCAGCAGAGGGAAGTATTGCCTAAGTGTTCTCTTCACTTACAGCAAAACGGACATTTTCTGAAGTTTGGCACAAATTAGTAACTGTGAGAAGTTTGCCAACCAAACGATTCAAGAAAGGAAGATCTGGTCAAATTAAACGATCAACAGAAAAACAAAATCAAAAGATGTCTAAGAAAACTCATGCCAAAAGCACACAGGACAGGCAAACTGCAGGGAGTAGCATGACCTTAAGGACTGCTGTTGTGGCACCTACAGCAAAGACTACTCCATATTTAACCAAGGTAGTTTGATTATCATCCTATGCAAACTATATGAAGTAACATGTACATACGTCTTGCTGTTCTGAAGGAGATATGACTCTTTTCTGACTTAATATGCCTAGCCTGATGGCATGGTGTTATCAGGTACGCAAAGCAGAAAAACTGAAATGCTTAAAACTGTCTAGTTACAGGCCATTGTAAGCAAACTAAATTGGGATAATGATGTACTAAATTCATCTTTCCCAGATGTTCAAGACAATTTCACCAGCAGTGCTTCCCACTCTTCTTATGCAGATTATACCAATTAGTTGTACTTCAGTCACACCCACAACTCACCATGATGCTGCAGGTCTGAGCAGTGGGTAAGTGGGTCTCCATTTCGGATGTCTTGTCGTCTAGTACGTCTGCAAATGTCATATTTGAAAACTGTTAGTGACCTTCTCAGTGGTCAGCATTCACATTTGCCGTGACTGAGGAGGAACGAATGGAATGTATAAATAATCGCATAGGTGAAAAGTGCACCTAAACAACACTAGGAAGGAAATCATAGTTACTACTATATTCTATCATGGTTCGTAGAATCAGCCTTTACTCTTACAGGCAAAGTCTTCAGACACCGGTAAATATGTATCTCTTGTACCGAGCCTATTAAGTTTATTTTAACTGTGTTGGCAATATTGATCATAGACAAACTAATTACTCGATTCATAGACATAGAGACTTCTAAGATCAGTGTTTAACATGCACCAAACACCGTGAAGAAGCTACAGCTTTTGTGCACACGCAGTCCAGAACAATTTAAGTATCATGGCAACTTTTAGCTAAAATGAAACCTTAGGATGGATGGCTTTGAAAGAATGTAAAAGTGCTGTATTTTCTACAAAATCTAAATTAAAATACATAGATGATTTTAGCCACCACAGATCTCACCAAAACATTGATGACAAAACCTTTTCCCAAACTGTTGCCAAAGGCCTTGTCTTTGCAATAAACAGAACAAAACACTTTGATTTTGAAATGTCATTTATTTCATCCTTTGTAGCTTGAGTCTGAGTTATTGCACATCTATTTAACACAGTATATTCTTTCCCCAGCATGATTTCCACTGTCTCTTTTGGAAAATATATTGATCTTCGCTAAGAAATGCACAGAAGAAAGCTTTTTACTACAGTTTTATTCTGCATTTGTTTTTCTCTCTTTGTCTGCCCCTATTTTTATTTAAATAGCTGTGACACAAAATTCAACTGAGCCAGAGAGGAGCGTTTCATATGAAAAAAGGAAAAAGAACAAGGCAAACAAAGACGTGTTTCAAGTGCGAGCACTTTGCTTTAGGAATCAGAGAAAGCCGGAGGGCTTGCAAAATTAGAGGAGAACAAAGAGGATTAGGCTGCTGAACAATGCTGTGATTTCAGATTACGGCATCCAGCAACGGATATGCAAAAGTCAAGTAGCCTTGTAAAAAGCACTGTTGGTCACTCCCTTGTGACAACAGCCCACATTTTTAAAAAGCCATTGTTCTGCAGTACAGAGACCATCTCTCCTCTGTTCCCTAGCCCTGCTTGCAGACGCTCACTCACAGCCCAGCACCAGCACAGCCTGAGTCCTCACAGAGGCACCATCAGCTGTGCAGCTGACTCCTCTTGGCTGAAAGAATTTAATTTTTTTTTCCACTGAAAACTACTGAAATGTTAAAACTGAAATCAGTTATGTGAAGTATGGGAACAGTGGGGTTTTTTTGGGGGGGGAGGAAATCAACAATTCAGAATGTGCATTTTTTATATCCTTCTGAATAAAAGCTTCTTTAAAATTATCCTAGTGAATTAGCATGTTTTAATAAGGAACCTTCTGCTGATTGATATATGATTCAAAGAATGTGCTAATCCTAATTTCAGATACCATCTTCATAGTGCTCATTACCAATGAATAAATTACACAAAACCATAAGGAACCATAAAAGTTTGTTACTCCTTCCTAAATTTTGAAATGCAGCATGTTTATAGGACACTATCTGTAGACAAGAAGTCTGTGGAACGACTCATATTACTGTCAATGCAATTTGGACGAGGTGTTTGGTTAGAATCTCAGGAAAATGTCGCACATATCACCATTGTATCAACACAATGATTTATGAAATATGAACCAGAGCACATCTGCATGGGGTAAAGTTAAGTGGTCACACTACAGGAGCTCTGAACTGTCACTTAGACTTGTAATATACACACACACACAAAAAAGTAAATTAAAATCATGGCTCATAGAAGCTCCTCTTTAAAAAAAGAAATTTAAAAAATGCCTAAACAAAACAAAAAAAAATCCAAACAGGCAGACCAACTATTAGTAAAGCATCTGTGCAATTCCCTCAGGACTCGACTTTCCCAATATATCTGGAGCCTAAAATTACAAGGATTCGTTATTAGGAAAATGTTGACATTTAAGCTGTTTTCAGTGCAGTGGGTACAGCAGGTAACAGGTAAACAAGGAATCATCTCACCCAGTAACACCTTTACTCTGCTGCTGCCAAGGGAGAAATGGGGGAGGGGGCAGTGGCTTTTTCTGAACGCATTGTCAGGATCCCAGCTTCCCAGGACTTACTTCTAGAGTAGTCTCAAGAAGAGTAAGTTCTGCATATCAAAGTTTTCCTGTAGCTGTGCAATGCCGTTCAGCCCTAGCAACCTCATCCCTTAATCCCACCCCCTGACGACACCAGCGAGCTCAGTCTTCTCTTCAGGAAATTGGAGAGATGGGTAAAGAAAAGCCAGAGTGCTCTATTTCTTCCATCAGTGTGAGCACATGAATGACAGGAAAACTTTGATATGCAGAACTTACTCTTCTTGAGACTACTCTAGAAGTAGGTCCCTGTCCTTTTACCCCTGATGGCCAAGTGAGCTCAGTCTGCTCTTTAGGAAATTGGAGAGATGGGTAAAAAAAAGCCAGAGTGCTCTATTTCTTCCATCAGTGTGAGCACATGATTGACAGGATGATGTGCTCCATGTGTCTTGAGATGGGCCCAGCATAGGAATGGGTGCTAGTGAACGCTGAGAACGGATGAGCTTCAGGGATAAAGATTAGTAGAGAGGTAGCAGAGAAGAGTGATTCAGGGATTCCTGACCTGACTGTCTCCTTTGACTCAGAGGCAGTACTCAATTACACTGACTTCTAACCCTTAAAATACTCAGATCAAATCAATCTTTCAGATTCTTCTTGAAAATCTTACTGTTCCTTGTGCTCTTGTTCCTCCTATAGAGAAACTGCTGTGCTCCCACGTGCTCTTGTTCACAAATTTGAATTTAGCCCATGCAGCTGAGAAAATGTGACCAGCTCTTCCTTTGGAATGGGTTCAGTTTTCCTTGTTTAATTATTTTCTAAAGAATTTTGCAAAAAGCTTGTCTCAGATTAACTCTGTTTCCTGGTGCAAAAATAGAACCTGATGTTCCATAAGTAGCTTTTTCTTTTGTCATCAGTATTTGTTTAGGATACATTGTAATGTAAGCCTTGAAATCTTAATTCCCTCCATCTGAAAAGTCTGTGACAGAAATACTACTTCCCACTCTTTACATATCTTGCACCAACGAAACCAAATCCTGAATTCTGAATCCCTACATTCTCAACTAAATATTTGCTACTGATTTTAAATTAAAGATAAAGGCTCCATATACATATGAACCCTTGGACTTCTTGTTTCTTTGAAAGTGTGTAATACTTGGCATATTCTATTTAATGTGAACATTTTCTTTTACCATTTTAGCCAATTTATCATGAGACTCTGAATGCTCCACCAATATCTATTCTTATTTGCAAGTGATTATCAATTCAGTTATTCCTAATTTCTACTTCAGTAGCTAAAAGCTGTTCAGTAACGAGCTTACATACCTTAAGCAAAAGAATTTCAGAGATAAAGGCAGGCAAAGAAAATATTATTTTAAATCTCCGGATCAGGCAACTAGGACTTGTAAATTTTTTATTAAAATGGTATTTTTCACTTGCAGAGTCTGTTTTCCCTTAACCTTTGCATTGCAAATCCTTTAGCATCAGTGCAAAGTGAATGTAAAATAGTGATGGTTCTGGTCTGGTAGCATTTAGACACACATCAACACATACAGGTTATACTTTTAAATAATAAAAATAATATTATATATCACTAAACAATAACTTCCTATACATGTCTAAACACTTTATAAATATTTCCTTTGAATTAGAATTCATGAAAATGCAGAACAATTTACTTGGGCAAATAGTTCTTTCATTTTAATATCAAGCCCGCTCCTTATGCTAGAGAAAAGGATTATTTTCTTTTTCCTGTTTATTACTGAATGTAAAGTTATGAATCCATTTCAGAGAGAACTTTTCTGAATGTTTTCTTACAACAGCTTTTAAGCCAACCCAAGAAGTAGCAGTGTTCACTTTAACTCAACCAAAACTTCATATTGCTTGTAACTCTCACAATTATGTTTGCTTTGGAAGAGAAAGGGCTCTGGTTAACCACTCCATGAAAAATCTCCAAAGCCCTCTGGTCATATCGAGGCCTTCAGTTAAAACAAATAGCAACCCTTGCAGACATCTGAAACTGTCCCTACCTCTTAGCAGTGGGGAAGTAACGTGAGCAAGATGAACCGTCCCAGGCACAGTAAGGGTCTCTCGCAAGGCAACACTCAGCACATGCTTTTCCATACACATCACAGCGGTGTAAAGGAAGCTGTGAAACTCCAGTGGCTGAGCCAATGTAGAGCTGTTGCTGTTAAAAAAGTTAAAAATATATTTTTTAAAAATTGCAAATTAACTTTTTTTTTTTATAGGAATACATCAAAAAATATGTCAGGGCCACTACAGATATAATAAAGGATCATGATCCTCGTGTACACTAAAGGAATGAGAAGAGAATTGTCCTAAGGTTGAAAAAAAATCAAAAAGGAAAAGCTTTGATATTTTTACAAAGTTCTAGGTGGCTTCTCTAAGCAGCAAGAAAAAATTAAAGTACTGTTCTATTTTTTCTTTTCTATTCAGATCTGCATGACAGAACACAACGGAGAACGTGCTTTCGAATTTAAAGGAAAAGAAAAACAACTTCTAATGTAAATTTCCTATATATGACCCTGATTTGCATATGTGTGTGTGGAAAAATGAAGTTAGACTGGTGCTAACTTCTTGGAAGTGCTCCTATGCACACACTTCTTTGCTTGACCAAAAATTCTGACAGTTCATGCTCTTCTTTTATTGGTCACATATGCTAACCGAAACATATCTTCAATGAGGGATGATGGCTTACTTTATTTTGGATAAAAACCAGTGCTGAGTGGAAGAAGTAGTTGAAATGCAGAAAGAAGCCATGAAGTAAATAAATAAAAAAACCATGCATACAAAATGAACTACAGCTTTGTATGGCATCACAACAGAATATCTTGTCTGTCTCAATTTCCTCTCTGATATCAAATTCACGTGGTCCCTTAGGGAAGTTAGTCCTCCTAGGGACATAGGGAAACTGAACTACTGATCCCACGTGAAAGCCCAAACAGAGATATTTCAGCTTAGCACTAATTCACAAAGAAAACAAGTATAAGTGTAAGTAAATATAATTCTCTCTAAAATGCAAAACTAAGGGAAAACAAAATAAATAGATAAACAAAACTTAAGTGGCATAATCCTTCTGTTTTGGAAACACTGATGCTTTACTAGCAAAATCCTAAACTTTGTCACCCAGCACCCATGATGGGGCAATTAATACATTTCTTTTCAAGGTCCTACTCCAACCAGTGCTACCAAGAAAACACAAATTTATATCCATTTTTCTTTATTATAAAATACAAAACTGGTATGGAAAAATAAGATTTCAAGAAATGTTGTCAGAATTCTTCATCTCCTGCACTGTGATGTCCCAGAGATACTGTTTCCAAGGAATTCAGGGATGAAAGGTGGCTGAGGTCACCTTAACTGCTAGAAATGATGAGCACTGGATACCAGGAGACAGCAAAACCAAAACCACTCATAAAAGGTGTTGTGTTAATTTCTTTCAGAGACAGCAGCTTGGCAGTTTATACAGACATATTAATTGTAACAGAAACATCCCCTGCATTTATATAAACACCAGTATTTTCTCAAGGAAAATATGACTAGGAAAGCACCCAAAGGAAAAATCACTGGTAAATTGAAAACTAAGTCCTTTCTAAGCAGCTGTTTCCATCTATTACACTGCTGTAGAGCTGTAAACCCTCATTGTCTGGGCACAAATCTCCAACCATACAGAACTCCATACAAAGCCTTAGCTGCACATACCAGTGCCCAGTTAGCGCTGTGTCCTCAACAAGCAGATGACAGGCAGTAGACATGATAAGCTGATTCTCTTTAAAGTCACTTAATCAAAGTACCCAGCTTAGGGGTACGTTCTGCACTAAAAAGAGTAGCAATTCAAATCTTAGGTGACCTAACCATTTCTCAAGGGATGCCTTTTCTCTTTACTGATTATGGAGGCAGCATAGGTCAAATTAGAGCTTCAGTTAAGTATCTTAAATGTCCAGATGGTATTGATCTGTGTCCTGTGTAATTGGGGCATTAATATCTATATAAGCGTGTAGCAACATGTGGTGCAACTAATATAAAAAGCAACCCAGAGAATGCACAGGGGGGAAAAAAAAAGGTGTAATGTCTTCTTATGCATCCCTGTAACCAATTTCATCTAAAACCTCTCCCTGATTTCAAGTCTTTTGATTTAAAGAATGAGCAGAAACATATACAAAAAAGCCAAACAAAAAAGGTGAGGCCAAAATAGGGTTACTTAAAGAGTCTTCTCCTTGTAGATAAGTTCATAAAGTTCAGTCAAGTGAACTACAGCACGTGTTTCAGGTGCTGCACAGCCTGAAGGCTGCTGCCCTATTTGCTGCTCTTATGATCATGGTTTTAGACTCCAGCTGGGGATCATTATTCTGGACACTAATAATACGTAAATCCAGCCAGTAGGAAAATGAGAAAATAGCGATAGAATGATTTGCATCAATATTCTGACCTTACTTTGCCATACTCAGTCCAACTGTCTGTTGGGCAGAGTCTTTCCCAAGAGGTTGTTAATTTATTAAATCAGCTGATTATCAGATCAAACCAGAGGGAGTAAAAAAAAAAAAGTCCTCTAAAAATTCTTGCAGCATTGAAATTCTACAAAAGTTGAGGAGACTAATGTTTTAAGCAATCTAGTAATTTCTGTTTGCCTCATTGTGCTGCCCAAAATGCAGTCTTTCCTCAGAAGTCAGACAAAGAGATAACTGAGAATTTTCCATTTGCAGTTAAACAAACTAACAAAAAAAAAAGAAATAAAAAAAATTAATTCTTAAAGATAAGAATTTAGGCAGAATTTTAAAAGGAACTTCAGGGAGCATGAAGTTCAAATATGATCTATTTTAATTTTATGTCTTGAAAAGTAACTGATGCAGAATAGTTCAGGGAGCTGTTTAAGTGACATATCTATTTTGACCTAGTCCTTTTTATATGCTCGTTATGGACAGAGATGGTATCTCTTAATAAAATTCAGTATCTTGTGAAAAATAGTATAGAAGTAGTCACCGAGGTCTTTCTGAAGGCCTCTGCCTTGCCCTTGATTGAGAGTCTTACGGAGGAGAAACAAAAGCTCCACCAGACAAGGATCTGCCCTGTATCAGCCAAGGATCTTGGGTTTTTTTCCCATCTTACCAGAAACACAATGTTTTTTTGAAACAGAGGATCATAAACCTAACCCTGAGGGAAAAAAAAAAAGATTCCTCCACAAAAAGTCATCTTAAAGTGAAAGCCAAGCCTGACTTTTTGGCCTTTTTCTACATTTTTAAATCAAGGAGAAAAATTATGGAGCCCAGCCATTAACCTACCACCGACAAGTCCTTGACTAAACCATATCCCTAACCACAATGTCTACCCAACTCTTAAATACCTCTAGGGAAGGTCACTCCACCACTGTCCTGGGCATCCCATGCCAATGCTTGATAACCCTTTCAGTAAAGAAATCATAGAATCATAGAATAGCCTAGGCTGGAAGGGACCTTAGAGATCATCTGGTCCAATCTCCCTGTCATGGGCAGGGATGCCTCTCAACTAGATCAGGCTACTCAAGGCTCCATCCAACCTGGCCTTGAACACCTCCAACATCTCTGGGCAATTTATTCCAAAGTCTTGCCACTCTCATACTGAAGAATTTCTTCCTAAGGTCCAGTCTAAATCCATGCTCCTTCAACTTAAACCCATTTCCCCTTGTCCTATCAGTGGACACTCTTGTAAAAAGTCCCTCCCCAGCCTTACTGTAGGTTCCCTTCAGGTATTGGAAGGCAGCTATTGGGTCCCCCCAAAGTCTTCTCTTTTCCAGACTCTTTTTGCAGCCTGTCCTCATAGCAGAGGTGCTCCAGCCCCTGGATCATCTTTGTGGCCTCCTTTGAACATGCTCCAACAGATCCACGTCCCTCTGATGGTGGGGGCACCAAAACTGGACGCAGTATTCGAGGTGGGGTCTCACAAGAGCAGAGTAAATGGAGAGAATCACGTCTCTTGACCTGCTGACCGCGCTTCTCTTGATACATCCCAGGATGCGGTTGGCCTTCTGGGCTGCAGGAGCGCACTGCCGGCTCATGTTGAGCTTCTCGTCTATCCACACTCCTAAATCCTTCTCTTCAAGGCTACTTTCAACCCACTCTGTTCCCAGTTTGTATTTGTGCCTGGGATTAGCCTGGCCCAGGTGCAGGACCTTGCATTTTGACTTGTTGAAGCTCATGCAGTTTGCACTGGCCCATTTCTCAAGCCTATCATGGTCCCTCTGGATGGCATCTCTTCCCTCAAGTGAGTCCACGGCACCACACAGCTTGGTGTCGTCGGCAAACTTACTGAGGGTGCACTCCTATTATTTAATCTAAACCTCTTTAGGCAGCTGCAGGGTGCTACAGTGACTCTAGGATGCTGTCCTCTGAAGGTTTGTGTCTTTTGCTAACCACGCGTTGTTTAGGTGATAAGGACAAGCCTAGGGCTCTGAACCTAGTTAGGAGGAATACATACCTTCAGTGAGGAAATATAATTCCTGCAAGTTAAAGACAGCAGAGATGAGGCAGCCTGTATCAAGACTTAGTTTTACACACAAAGGCTAAGTTTCTTTGCTCAAAGTCACTCACGCTCAAGGGTCAAATTCATATTCATGAAGAGACGCACGGGAGCCTTAAGAGTTTTATGTGATTTAAAACTAAAGCTAAGTTCTGCTCCTGAATAATTTGTAGATTTTGATCTTCAGGATGAAGTGATTGCTTTAAAGTTATTCAATAGGACTTGCTGGTTTTACTGTTTACGTTTCATGCTCTTGCTTTCTACAATGCATGGAGTTATTGTGCTGTTTATACAAAAAAGATTCTGCCTATCAGAACACAATGAGTAAAGTGTTTGAGTTATAAAACTACAGGATTTTAAAATCATGAATATAAAATGGAAACATGTTGCCACATACTTGTTTGATTTAGAAAGACAGAGCCAAAGCTTGTCATACTGTATCATGGTTCTGTCTTTTTTAGCCTCAGGCTGGTTGATTTTTCATGAGTTTAATGCTGCTTGAATAACTTATGTTTTATGCTCTTTTTTTTAGTTTTAGACAATTTTAGATGTGTAAATTCGTTTTCAAAAGACTCTGGGAAAATGGTAATCTCCCCTGAACAGCTAAAGATGCTTTGAAGAAGTTGTATGAAAATGTGTGGTCCATTCTCAAATAAGATTGGCTGCTTTAAGGGAATGTACTTGTAAAAATAATCCAAAGCAGAGCATTTTGGTATGATGTGAACATATATACAAGTTGACAGGTTTGTTTTTAAATATCATAGTATTCAATAGCACATTTTTTTGTCCTGCCATTTCTGTTGTTTTGGTGGTAAACTATGTTAGAAGAATGTCCTGAAACAAAATGTTTTCTGTCAAATACATGAACGTTATCAGACAACTTTTCTAAATACAGTGAATTCTGAGTTAAATATGAAGCATTTCAAACATGATATTGGGCTCTGTCCATTAAAGAATGAATTCAACTTCTGTTTAATAATGCACAGAGTGAGGCTGATGAGTTAAATAAAACATAGTACATATAATTTTTAGTGCACCCAGTCCTGGATGTAGTACCAAACGTCCCCTTTACTGTCCATGGCATTAATGGAAAAATTAAGGAATGTGAACAAGTTGCTTATATTTACTGAATTAGGCTCCAAAACCACACAAATATGAAAAAGGAGGAAAAATAGTTTTATCATGATAAATACAACATTAAATTTTATCTCTCAGACTTCTGAGACAGGAAATGACAGTGGCTGGGATCCATATGCCTAATTCCCGGCAGAACTGGACAATAGACCCCTCATACCCACTTCACTCCCGGTTTGCAACCCAGTGTTCTTTGCATGACTACATAATTCATCAGCTGCTTCATAAAGAAGAGCAATAATAGTTGCCTGTATTTGCTAAGAAATGCAAAAATCACCTTTACTGTAAATCAGACAGAACTTCACCTCCATCCATCAAGACGCCCAGTTAGTTTTGGTTATGTTTTTCTGCAGCGAAAGCTATAATACATACGTTTTCTTGAAGAAGTTAGTTATTAGTGTATTATATTAGTATATTATATTAGTGTATTATATTAGTATTATTTTCAACAGAAAGTAGGAAATACAGAGCCTGAAGTCTGGAACCCATATCCTAACTATGTCACTGAACCAGAAAGCTATGGAAAATTTGAACTAAATCATCTTTGTTAAAGCTGAATTGTGCATGTCCAGGAATGGAATGGGCATCAGACAGAAAGATCAGAGGATATCTCATTTCATCCTTGCTTACGCTATGTCTATTTTGTACAAGACTATTCCTACAGAGACTAGAAGCAGCCCCATTAAAGCAAGGGACTGAGTTTTGCCACTCTTTTTGAGTTTCTCTATCATGAGAACATTCTATAATGTTGATTTTTTTAACTTCTTTTCTAGAGAGCCTCCAGACAGCTGGTTAGTTTATGTTTAGTTTCCACCTTACCAGTAATACAAAATAGACTTTTCCTTTCTCCTTTGCATGTCACATTTTCCTGAGAAACTACTGTTTATGTAAAAAGATGGGATGCTGCTGCTGTAATTAATATGTCTCTACTGACTGCCAAGTTACTGTCTGTAAAAGACAGAGACCAATAAATATTTAAAAGTGATTTAAACTTTGTGCACATAGTACCTGCTTTGTGGAAATCTTCATTGCTGAAATAACAGTGGGTTCCTAGGAAAAAAAAAAAAAAGAGTTAAAATATAAAATGAGTTCTGTAAACATAAAAATTCTCCTAGAATGTTATTTGTCCAATCTAGAAACCATGGAATTAAATTAGACACTCCTTAGTAACAGCGTTTCTTGTCTTTTGCAGTGGAATAGTTTCTAGCTTTAACTAGAATGCATGCACTTATCCAGGTGCATCTTAGATTTCTATGTTGATTGATGACATCATTTTCACGATTCTGACAGTTTCATTGTCTTTTCTTTGTTACTACTTGAAATTAATTTGTTACTACTTGAAATTAATTTCTACATTTAAAAATATATTTAAAGAACCTCCCAGGTAATATGAAAATAATGGCGGTATCAAATATAGTTACTATATATATTAAGGTTCATAACACTGACAAAAGCAACACATTTTAACCATATCAAGGTTAAAAAAAAAAAAAACTTTCCTGCAAAATTTTATCATAAGAAGCAGCCCTAATTCCAAGTACAATTTTCTTGACTGCACTACACTATTCATGTACAAAGAATCACAGAATCACAGTGTCAGGGGTTATAAGGGACCTCTGAGGATCATCTAGTCCAGCCTCCCTGCCAGAAGAGGATGACCCAGAGTAGAAGATACTCATACTCGCAGAACACAGAAATAAAACTGGCAAGGGGCTTCTTTGCACTCTGGAATATCCATTATTTAATCAACCAAAGGGGTCACTAGACAAGTTATTGTACTCCTAGCTAAGACTCATCATTGTACTTCACTGTAGCAAGCAGATGTCAAACCAATATCTAATTTCTTACTTGAGAGACTGTAGGAAATACTTAACTGAATAAGTATATTTTGTTCTGATTATAAGACTGTTATACCTTTTAGGCCCAGCTGCTTGAATGAGTTTTAATCCTAAAAGCTAAACTGGCATAATATGGTTAGAAATGTGGAAGTCAGTTCTGTATGAACTTTATTCCATCTAAAAATCTGCTATTGATCCCACATATCATACTTTTGATTATATACATTAATAAATTCCTTGTTAAGGTTTTACACTTGTATAGCTTTCAACTGGCTTATCCTGAGAGAATTTGATATGGGTCAGTGGATGTTAAGCATGTAGAATTGCCTTCACAGATGGGTTAATAGACCTTATATTAGAAAGCATCAATTAAGTGCAACATCTGAATGAAAATTGAACTCATCAGTTTGTTTGCTCAGCTGTTCAGAGAAATACTGCATAAATGGGGTTAAAAGAGGCGTTTGTTATCGCTGTAACAGATATGGAAGACTTTCAGTTTCATGGAATTACAAATGAAAAGCATTGTGTGCAGCATATTGCAGCTTAAACATCAAAATGCATATGATGCACATAGACTCTTTAGTATTTGAAGAAAACTTAGATTTCATTGAGGTACATGTAAAATCTGGTGCAAAATTCATATTAAAAGATCCATATCTCATGCATACAGATTCTGCTTATTCCACTGAAGTACATTAATGGCCTCTTTAAGGAGACAAATGAGCTTTCAAGTATATCAGAACACCAAAATCCTTTTGTGTAATGAATAAACACATATGTAGCGTAAAACACCAGATTTGAATTTACCATCAACCATTCTATTTCTGTAAAGCCTTTCTGGAATAAAACTTTTGCTCCATTTATTTTCTTTCTTTCATTTTTCTCTGATCTCCTTTAGCTTGGCATTTCTACTTGATTTAGGGAAGAGACTCATACATTACCAACAATTGCCAAATTACCCTGCATTAATCTAATGACTTTTGCATGCATAAAAAGGCAAAAAATCTGGGAGCCACAAATTACTTGTCTCATTTTCTTCTCATAGTTTCTACTTCTTTTCTTCTGTTAAAAAAAAAAAAGCCCCACATTTCTGCTCTTAAGAAGGCCATAGATTGCAGAAAGAGAGTTCTCCATTTTTCAGTGCTATCTTGCACTCAGAACAGTAGCTTCTGTGCACGACTGGTACCACTAAAGGCAAGATTGCCAATAAGAAAAAAAAATTAATAAAATTATATGCAAGCTCTGTTTAGATATGTTGTGTCTGTTCAGAAATCAAAGAGAAAGGCAAGTGAGCATGATGAGGGCATGGTGGCTGAGGTCTCAGGGACAGACTCAGAGCACAGTCCTTGTCAGCACATCTGGAGAGAGACCACAGGACCCGGGGCTCTCCCAGCACACAAGTAGCATCATCGTGCTGTCACATTAACCCCATGCCAGGTATCAACTCTCTGTGAAACGGTGCCATAAACCAGCACTGACTAAACGAATAACATGGGGAATGTAAATGATTCGTTGTTGTGTACAAAACACAAGACATCTCTGGGTTCTGTCTGGAAAGTGTTTGAAAGCTTTACTCAGCCTCCACTTGCAGGAGCGCCTATGGGATGCCTTAGTTTTTAGGTGCCTCAGATAGGAAAAATGGAAGAGATTGATTTTCACAAAAAGGTGCTGAAGATTAGGGGATGTTTATGGAGTCTGGTGTCAGACCATGAAAGTGACACCCTGAAGTCACCTGAAGTCACACTTTCTTTGTTTATTAGACATAAGAATGTCTCTTTTTTATTAGACATAAGAAATATATGCAGATCACTGTTTTTCCTAAAGTATCTTCCTAGTTGCAGTATACTGATAGTCTGAGTAATGTTAGGAGTTAATGCAACAATAAAATTTGTGTATTGCCTATCTCTGTGGGAGTAAACAGACATTATTGCCAGACTTGCACAGATACTTATTTAACTACGGCATGAAACAGCTCTAAGATTCAGAGATACTAATTTATTTTTAAATTCACAAAACAAGAGCCCAGAATCCTAGTTCTTTTATCATTAACTTCCAGCTAGCATTGACAGTTTCAAGGTTTATTTTGACTAGTGTCTGGGTCTCTAAATGACAAGCTAATTAGAGGGGCATGCCAGGCTATTCCTTGGCTAGACTGCCAGAAGTTTAGTTTGCAGCTGTCCACAGAGAAATTACAAGACACTTGAAATTTAGCCGCACTTACCCGAAAGACTGTCATTTCTTCCAGCAAGACTTCCTCTAACTCATGCCAAGTCTCCTTAGGAATTGAAACCACTTTGAGAACTGTTCCAATATCTTGAAAAGGAAAAAAGAAAGTTTTCAGGTGTTTAAGATGCCTACTTCAGTTTCAGAGTTTCTTGCAGTGTGTAATTGTTTAAAATACAAAGATTGTGTAACTACGTATCTCTGAGTACTTGTTGTTCAAAATACCAGCTGTTACTTAAAATACACTGAATTTCAGGACATTTCACTGAAGTCTTTCAACTATTAAAATATAACAAAGAAGATAAACACTACTGTAGTTATTAAAGAAAGAGAAGGACAGAAATACTATTTCAGTGATGGTATAAAACAACAGGTGTTTCAGTCATTTAATTGAGAAAGGAAATGCACTAAATTTACCCAGGCATGTTTTATTGTCCATTTTAAATACAAAGTTTGTCATTCTTAAAATGTATGTGAAGAAATTCTTCACAGAAAGAGTGGTCAGACACTGGAATAGACTGCCTAGGGAGGTGGTTGAGTCGCCATCCCTGGATGTGTTCAAGTGTCGTTTAGATGTTCTGTTGGGTGATATGGTTTAGGGATGAACTTGTAGTGTAGGGTCAATGGTTGGACTCGATGATCCCAAGGGTCTTTCCCAACCTGAATTGTTCTATGGTTCTGTGGTTCTATGCTGTCGGGAGGCTCAGTTTGGATATGAAAACGTCTGGACAAATGTTGTTAGACAGGTGAAGCTGTTAGATCTCTAAAATACATGAGATCAGCCCCAGGTCACGCAAAGTACATAAGAGGTATAAGCCCCTTAAGGCATCTCTGTTTCTCTGTGTGTTAGATACTGGTCTTCACTGAGGGTAAAAAGCAGTACAGCATGTATCTTCTGTTTACAAATAGGTGTGTGCCAGCATTTTTATCCTATATCCATCTACATTCTTGGAGTTTTGTAATTGGCTTTAACATGAACAAGGGCAACACTTGTACCAATTCCAGAGCTACAGCTTTTGGTTTTGTGAATATGGCTGAGACTTAAAATCACCACTATTTTACAGTTTCTGCATCTGCTGTTTGTTTGTTTCCATAAAGAAAATTTTAAGGGAACAACAAAACAAAAAATAATAATTTCTAGGTTGGTACACATCACTGCAGACTCTCTGAAATGGAAACACTTTGTATTTGACTTTTCTTTTTAACCAGCCAAGTGTAGTGTCATGCAAATGTATCACAGGAATAACAACTACATCCCTGAGGACTTTTCATGCTGCATCTTCTGAAGCAGTAATAGTTTAGAAAAATATAAGGCACTTTAAATGGATAAAATTCTCAAAGTTACAGAACTCTAAAGGTCAACATTCTCAAAACAAGAATTAACCATCAATTACATAGTATCAAAATATATTTTGTATGCATATATATTCGTGCGTTTTAGTCAAAACTTCTGATTGAAAAACTGATGGTTCACCATTTCTATATTGAAAATACATATACAAATGAAACAAACAGATTACACTGGTGAAAATGTTTTTGTAAGGTGACTAACTTTAAAGCTATTGATTTCATGAGAAAATTCTGGCTATTCAACTTCTTTACATGAATTTGGATTAAACAGTTCTAGAAAACCTGGAATGTCCTGTAGAACTGAGATTTTAATTTTTCCATCTGCTCCCCTTTAAGCAGATGTTAGTTTCTAAGTATATGGAAATATAGAAAGAAGTGATTTTTTTCCCCCACACATCACTGTTTTCTTTCATTATTCACAAAACCCATAGATCCTTTCAAAAAAGAAAAAAACCCAAGAGTTCTTTCTTAAAAGAACAGCAAAGCAAAGCACAACTTCCTTTTTATTTAGGCAGCTATGTGCACAAACTAAGCTAGTAAAATATACTAGATAAGTTGTTCTGGATATGGTTTTCATTATGGTTACTGCTACTAATTTAGTACATTTAATACAAGAAATATTGAGAAGAATACAGAACAAATATAAAACTGCAATATAAAATGCAATATAAATATCCACATTTCTACAACAAATTAATTCAGAACAACAGATAATTCAACATTACTTATATTTGTAATTTAATGGATTAGTTCATTTTGATAATTATCCTGATAATTTGATGTCTGTGGAGGAAAAATACATTGTATGGGTGAAAAAAATGAGAACTCTGATCTAAGAAATGCAACAGCATACCAATGTGTTGTGCCTATATTCTGTGTGAGACTATGACCGTCCTCAGTGACAATCCATCAAATGCCATATTCTAGAAATAAGGGGGTATTTGCAATAAACCAACACAAGGGAAACTGCAGAGCCTGAGTGGCCACTGAGTGGACAAGAGCTCCCCACATAATGTTTCAAAAAAAAAAAAAGTCTGACTTTTAAGTGTATCCTGCAACAATTACAGTCTCTTGATGCTGGAGAAAGCCTCTGAGGTCAAAGATACATCGTGTTAATCACTGCGGCGACTCTGGTCAGGCCACAGGTACCAAAGTGGGGCTTTATCTGAGTTCTAGATCAAGTTTTAAAGAGTAGTATTTCAAACAATTTCACACAAACGGAATCAGGCTTCTCCTTTAGGATCAGTAGGCTCTGCTCTGTAAGATAAGATTACTGTTATTAATTTGCTTTACTGACAGATGTGCCTTGACTGTGCCAAATGATCCTAAACATCAGACACTCAGGATATGCATTAAGTGCATATCTTAAATCCTGTTTTTTTCTGATATAATTTCAAGCACGCCGATATGATTTTATTTCCATGGTAAAACACACTGGTACAATCACAGTGGGAAAGAAACTGCTCAGCTAAAGATTTCACCCACAGGAAAGGAAAATGTGACCATGCTGGGTGGCTATTAATTATGCTGTGTTCAATTATCATCAGTTACTCAACGAAAAGGAATAAAAAAAGTATTTCTTCAACATATTGAAGTTCAGCAGCATGTGGGAATAGTGTACATTGCTGCAACAGCAATGGGAAAATGCATCTAATCTGATGGGACAGACCTGCATAGAAAAATCCAGTCATACCCCAGAGAGCTTAACTCTGCCTTTGTCACAAGTTCAAAACATCAAGTGGGAAGCTGGACTGTGACTGGAGTCCCTAATCTGCTTCCCAGTTTGTTCTTTGCTTGGAGAAGATGTAGTATGTGCTGATTGCGTATCTGCTTCTGGTTCCTTTGGCTTTGACCAGCTGGCTCAGTGCAGCTTTCTGGCAGAAGGCAGGCAGGGCCTCAGTTCTGCCTCTTTTCCTTTCCCCCTGCATGGAAAAAAACCTTTCCTCATTCTGAAAACTGCAATAAGGACAGCGAGCTCAGAGGAGCACAGAGCATCTTAGCATTTTTAATGCCCCAGCTCCAAGCAGAGGTGTCATAATGGCTGTCCTTGTTCCATGAGGGAATAACCTCCTGCCGGAAAGTGAACAGTTTCTATGGACAAAAGCAGTACTTCAAGAAATAACAACATTCTGCACTTACGTTGGATTTTGATCTTGAAATGTCTCTTGGCAAGTGCAAGTAATAATCTTTCAATACCTTTCTTACAGTTCTTGGGCACAACTATCAGCAATGTTGGATGGGATCCAGAGCACTTACCACACACCTGAATGTTAGTGGTTTAGGGGATTGAGTACCTAAATTCCCAACTCAAAAGTAAGAGCTGGGTATCACTGAGGGTCTTTCAGAAGGAGACTTTGCCTGAATAATTTAGATAAGAACTACTACACATAATGATAACTATCTAAAAGTTATAGCTCAGATTTAAGCAATTCTTCCTGTACCGTCTGAAAACAGACTGGAACTTCTGCATAACTGTTCATCTCACTCTAACATAGGTCTTGAAGAAAGTATAAGGAATCTCTCTCTGGAAGTACTTATCTCTCTCTATTGCAGAAGCCAAGGCATCTTTCTCAGACTGAATGCCAAAATTTAGTGAGATAAATGCCACCTCTTGTGCTCAAGATGTAGACATAAATCAGCTCCTGATGTTTGTTCAGCATCATACTTTGGATGCTGAAGGGCTTCTTCTCTAATATCACAGCTAAGAGGAGTATTGCTTTTTTTTTTAACTTTTCTGGGCTGAGTCAGGTCATAGAAGACTTGTTGAAAGGCACAAAATACTGCCAATTGTAGATGGCACTGAAGTCTCTCATGTTTGATGGAAAATATATGTGTTGTGTAATATCATGTGAAACTACTTTTTAGTGCTTCATGAATGAACATATTGTATCTAATAACTCAGTTTGCAGTTTTAAAGATCTGGAATGCTTTCTGCAGAGCTGCATTTCCTGCAGTAAATGTTCTGAATTGCTACGCGTGCACTGTATTTGGTACACACAGCTTCATCAGCTCTCAGTTTACTGATAACATATTTCAGGCATCAAGATGAAAGAGGCTTTGAGATTTATTGCTTTGGAAATCCAACCCCAGGTCCAGAGGACCAGAGCTGTACTCAAAGCAAGTCAGAAATTGGACTGCTATAAGACAGACAGCCCAGACAGATTTTTTTTTTGGTCCAAAGTCGAAAAAAAACAGTGGGTGTTTGGTTTGATTTGTTTTGGCTTCATGATGCCAATGTCTAATTACTAGCAATTATGTTCAATAGAAGTTAAAAATACTTATATTCAACATAATTGAAACACCAGCCAACTAATGGAAAATCTTCAAAGGTGAAGAAGATCCACCAACGGCTAATCTGCATAGTTCTCAAGACCCTGAACCTAGCCAAATTGATATCAGCTAATTTCTGGCCACTGTTATTTCTCGTTATTAACTTTCTGGAAAAATACGTCTTTTCTGAGTGCCTGTTTCCATTTTTGTAAAATGCCCAAGCTGTATGATTCCGCAAGTGCTTTGCCAAAGGTATCACATTTCTATCTGAATATGATCTATTTTTAAAACGTTTTGTATACGCCACATATCTTCACCTTAAGTAAAATGATGCACTCTTCTGGCTAAAGAGCTGAGCATATTAAGACAATGCTTGAAATACTTAAAAGACACACAAGACAATTACATTTCCCATCCCTGGATACTTGCCTCATTCACGTTAATAGTTCTTATGCTGCATTTCTAAATGGGTACCTCAAACCCCACATTTTAATACTAAATTATAATTAATAAGGCAAGATATTTCTAATAAAATTCCCTAATAACAGTAGTTGGAAAGAGAGTGGTTTGATCTTAATCCAGCTGGCAAAGCTCCTAAAGAATTAAGCTATGCAGGCCACAGCCTGAACCTGTAACAGCAAATGTACTTAAAAAGACTTCCCCACACACAGAGTTTTGAGTCTTGCCCCAAATTTTCACAGGTATACACTGGAACATAAATCACTGTTGTGTCTTTCAAATTGTGAAATATTATCTGATCTATGTCTCCATGAGCCTGCCTGGAGGACCACACAGTGTAGATTCAAAAACTTCTCACCTGTGCCAATGAACATCACATCATATTGGCCATCTTCTGCATCCACTCTGTCTACTACTATCTGTGTGAACTGGTAGTCCACATCTGTTTTGATCATGATTGGTCGGTTGTTGATGGGGAATACTGGGTTGTACATGGCTGGATGACTTCTTGCAAATGTTATAACTTCATCAGGAAGGTCCTTGGTGGAATCAAAGCCTCCAAATGTTTTACTGGGACACTGGAAATAAAAAAGACAGTGTTTTACATTTTATTATTGATCATAGCAATGTATTAGAAATCCATTTCAGTTTAGTCATCCCAACTACTGTAGTCTATAATTAAATACGACAGTGGATATAGGTGTTTCATGACAGTCAGAAAAAGTTAATTCTATCATTAAAGGTCTCTGGTTTTTTTCTTCTTGGATTTAAATCAATACGGCTAGCAACTTGTAAATGAGCCTTATACATCATTTTTCTTACTACTAATCAGTGCAAGAGGATTTTCAGTCATTTACTGATTGACATGAGTCTTTAACTGGCAGAAAGAAAGAAATTCTGACTTATTTAACATCATTCAATATGAGACAAGCAATTTCAGTAATTGGTTATGTATACACTGGAAAATTAATTAATTACGCCACCACCTTAGTTTCAAAGTATCATCTTCAGAAGTTGACTGGAAATCAATTCCTCCCATAGAAACCAGATCCTTAAATGCTGGGACAATTCCCTGCTCCACTGACTTTTCAAACTCCTGCTTGTCTCAACAAGCTTGTGTCATCCATGTAGTGTCAATAACATGGATCTTGTTACACTAAATCAAATCAAATGAGTCATGTCCTAAATGTATCTCTTCTTCCTCCATTGATTCTAAAGAAAGCCTCATGCTGTCAGTGTGAACAGTTAGGAGAGATGACTCTCACTAAAGAGTCGAAATACTCCTCGTGTACTGCAAAGTAATGGAAAAGTTGGTGTTCCCTTAGGATTAAGCTTGTCCCCATGAAGTAACACAGCCATGGATGGGCCAGATAATTTTGTTTCTTATCAGGGAATTCTCTGCTCACATTCTCCCATTTTCAGCAAAACTCAGAGACTGAGAAGGGAAGGAAAGACCACGGCTCTGGTATCCCGAAAATATTCCTCTGCTTTCACCTACCACATGTCTCCATGGGAAGACTTAAGCAATACGGCTAATCACCACTGTTTGCCCTTTTCTCTTCTGTAGAATTAGTAAGTGGTTTAAATACAATTAGAATTTACTACTTACTTTAAAGCAAGCATTAGTAATGTGTTAGTAATGTTGAATGGATGAAAAAAATGAGCTACAAAGGCATTAACCACCAGTCCAAAGATACTAGGCAAAGAATTTGGTGTCCTGCACTCCTAATCTCTTCAGATACCTATTTAAGGTACGTAATACTCCGAAATCCACTTGACAACAATTAAGCTTGCAGCATTTGAACTTGAAATATAAACAAATGGTGTTAAAATGCCCTAGATAATTTGTCTTTTATATCCACATATAGAATATCTTCCAATTACAGTAAAAACCTAGAGGACAATATCTTATTAACCAAGAATCCAGACCTTGCAGGACACTCAGCAGACGAAATCAATCATCTTTGGTATCACCTTGATCCAAATTATTAATAATTCATCAGAAATTAAATTTAAAAATCAATGTTGTCAAAAGGAGGAGTTGCTGTACTCAGCAAAGTGACACTTCCAGCACAGATATATAAAGTGCAAATTGTCCCTTTTTGGCATAGCTGTTAGTAAGCAAATTCCCACATTCTTTTCCATTACATGGTATGGAAGGGAGGGAGGGAGGGAGGCAGAGTATTTGGTTAATGCATGTGGAGCAGACTAAGCAGAAAGCAAGTTGGTTATCTACATTATTGTGTTAACATTTTTCAGCCTTTTTGTATGTTCTTGCTCCATTGTACAGAAATATTACAAAGAAAAAGTCAGATAGGTTTTTTATAATCATTGGCCAAATCATCGTCTATCTCATAAATTGTGTTTAAAATTCTACGCTTCAATTTTAAGTTTGCTTTACATCTCAGTTACTAGTCTAACTACAGTTCAATACTAACTACTCAGATTAATTAGATAATACTTAATTAGATAATATATGTAAAGTGCTTTAAGTATGAAAATCATGACACAAGAACTAAGTATTGTTAATTGCAGCTGGGCAAACACTGAAAAACCCAATAAATTAATATTCATTTCAATTTTAAGTAAATGAATTTCAGCTGTGTTTCAATTGCTTGAACATTTACTTTCTGGCTCATTTTGTAACAAAGAATTTTATTTGCAGCAATGTTGACCAAGACATATTTTATGCAGAAAAATCACCAGACTGGAATTAATGTCATAATTCTGTGTATTTAAATGAGATTCCCAGTTCTGGGAGCCAGATTATTCCTTGGATTCCCTGCTTTTCCTAGAATAATAAAAAAAAAAAATGACAGTAGATTTGTGTCTTTAGCTCTAAAGTTTAAAGTGCACTACCTGGACTAATCTGTGGTTCATTTTCATCCTACCCCACTTTTATGAAACTGACTGAGATGAAATCAAACTCTCATTGCTGTAACTCCCTTCCTTTTTAACAGGGTGAAATGGGCACCATCAGTAGGTGGCATTTGGCCCATCCATTGTCCAAATTGCTTGCAGAGCCATCTCAACTTAAAGTCATAGAATAGAATAGAATAGAATAGAATAGAATAGAATAGAATAGAATAGAATAGAATTAGAACAGAACAGTTATCCTGAGGAGAAAAATCTTGACATGCTTACTTATGTGTTATGGTCACAAAACCAAGATACACAACAAAGACATTGTCCTTGATGCTAATGACAGAAGTGCTTTTGATACTAGTAGGTCTAAATCAAGCTAATTGGCAAGGCTCTTCGTCAGAACTCATGTTTATATTCCTAATCAATCCCACTGATAGCAAAGAAACAGAACGTTTTCAGGTACCAAAAGACAGGCATGAATACAAATCCTTGACAAAATCTGGAGAAATGAGCTTCATCTTGGATTCAAGGAGAGTCAAAGAACTCTTGCATTTAACATCCATTTCCAGCTGCTAGTCCCCAGTGTGCTATGTCAGGGGCTTTGCTCAGCCAGAAGGAGGTAACCAGGCTATCCCCCAACTGCCTAACAGGGAATCCAACAGAATAAATCCATAGCTACATTTCAGTAGGAACAAAAAATGCTCTGGACACAGCTGAAGATAGACTCTTGGTATTATGAAGCAGAGAAAAATTGAGCTCTGTAGCTGAATTCATAGAGAGTCAGATATGAATTCAGGATGAGGTACTTCATTCAAGAAAAATCCTCCCTCCTCTCCCAAATACCGTTAAAAGGTTAAAAAAAAAGGTTCTACAGAGCTTGAAGGAAAAATTCTGGCAACGTCTTTGTTAAATGTGAAGCTGGTATAGAATTGTTTATAAATTGTTTATAAAGTTTTCTGGCTTTTCAAAAGGACCATTAACTTTTGTTTTTCTTTACTCATACTGGGCAAGTCACCAGATGCTCAAGAAATTTACCAGCCCCTCACCTATTAAATTCCTCAGATGATTCACCACTGTTTAACTGCACTGAGATCTGGAAGTGAATCACTGTAAGAAGCTCAGGTTTTGTTTCTCCTTTCCCTTTCCCTGTTTCATGGAAAAGAAGCCAAAAGTCTGACATCTAAAGAAACTTCAAAACGCTTTCTTCTTTATTCTCAACAGATCTTCAAAGCTATTGAAAATATATCATATTTTATCACTTTAGAAATAAAAAAACTTCTTTTCGGTGAGAAATGTCTCTCATTTTCAAATTCAGTTTTATCCTACTAATAGAACAGAATGATTTTAGCGACTGTGAGGGGAAAAAAAAATGTTTTTCAAAGTAGTAGACCCCAGGATTAGAGTCACTGGCAGTAGGCTAGGAATAACTGAAGCCACTCTTTAGTTACCATTTACAGCGGCATAGCCTCTCGCATGACATTGTGCGAGTGCAGGGCTATGTAGAATTGTATAATCTGGGATCACATTTACCCTTAGGTAAGAAAAATGTTCACAATGAAATTTAAACATCTTTGCACTTTCTTTGCGAATCTTAGTATAAGTATGTTACAGTGGAATTGTAAGGGTAGAATCTACCCTGAGAGAGTAGCTATAAAAGAAAAAAGCAAAAAGTTTATGTAACTTAACTGTACTTCCGTGCTTTGCAAAAGATCTGGTGGGTTTAGGTCACTTAGGGGTGGATTCTGGTTCCTGCTTTTCTGCGTGTTCTTGGGAATTTGATCAAGTTATTCTTCTTCCCTAGGGACCTCATTTCGAGACCCTCAGACAAGTCCTGGAATAACCCCAGGCTCTGAGGCAGG